AGAAGGAGAGAGAGAGGGAGAGCAAGATAGAGAGAGAGAGAGGGAGGGAGCGAGAGCAAGTTAGAATAAGAGAGAGAGAGAGAGAGAAAGAGAGAGAGAGAGAAGGAGAGAGAAAGAGAGTGAGAGAGCGAGCAAGGGAGAGAGAGGGAGAGATTGAGAGAAAGAGAGCTAGAGAAAGAAATTGAGAAAGAGAGAGAGAGAGAGTAAGAGAGAGCAAGAGAGAGTGAGGAAGAGAGAGAGCGAGAGAGAGAGAGAGAGAGAGAGCAAGGACGAGAGAGAGGGAGAGAGAGAGAGAGAGCAAGAGAAAACAAGAGGGCTAGTATGTTCCATCAAAGATAGAGAGCAAGAGAGAGAGAGAGAGAGAGCAAGAGGGGAGTGGTCTATCAATGACTTGGATGAGGGTCGGGAGGATCCAATCCAAGTAATCTCCCACGGTGTCTTCATCGGATTCAAATCCCACGTCAAAGAACGGCGATTGTAGGACGTCGAGATTACCTTGGGCATCAAACACAAGCCCCCATTCTAGCTCGGGATCCGCCACGCGACATGGAGTTGACGATGGGTGGTCGCCACGAGAAGTTCTCCAAAGGGGAAGAGGGGAGGCCGGCGGGTTGTAGAGAGGAGGGGAGGCTGGCGGTGGAGTTAGGGTGAGAGGGGGAGTTGGGTTTTAGAAAACTGAAATTAATTTCAGTTTTAGGGATTTTGGAGGGAGAGATTTGAATTTCGAATCCAAGCTTTAATTGCAATTAATTCCTTAATGAGAGAATTAATTGGGGAAAAGCCCATTAAGGGCCGACGGCAAGGAGAGAGGAGGGGAGAGAGCTAGAAGTGAAAACTGAAATAGGTTTCAGTTTTAAATGGGATGGGGGGAAATCTAAGTGAAATCAAATTCAGATTTCAATTAAATTTAGAGTAATGAGGGCAATTAGTGGGGAGCCAAATAGGAAGGGACGGCGGGATGAGTAGAGGGAGAGGGGTTAGGGAGAGAGGGAGGGGTTTCCAAACAAGGATGATGACTAGGAAATTTTTTTTATTAAATCCAAATCAAATTATTTCAAATTTGAATTCAAGAAAAAAATTTCCATATATGGAATTTTCCAAATTTGGAAAGAGTTGGAAATTTGAAATTCAATTTTCAATTCGGAATGAGCGGAGAGGAGGTGGATGGAAGGTGGTCGGCGGGTGGCTGTGTGGCCGGCCGGTGGTGAGAGGATGGACGGCGGCGGGAAGCCCAAGGGGGCGGCGGCTAGGGTTTCGGGTGAGGTGAGGTGGGGTTTCTTATGGTGGGGAAGAGGGAGGTGGAAGAACTAAATACTAGGATTACAATTACCTAGAGAACTCACTAAGAGATCTCAAACGAAGAACTCACCAAGAGATCTTCAAGCACTCACAAAGAGAACATAAAATAGAAAATTTCATTCATCCAATGATCCATAAAATACAATGACAAAGATGAACAATGCAAGCAGGATGGTTTCTAGTCATATTGCCCACTAGGTTAACGATGTAATCTAAACTCTTTTGGAGTCTTATCGGGTCCATTGGGAAGCGTCAAGTGACACTCAAAGATGATTGGGTGTAAGGGACGTCATTTAGACACTCAGTTAGGTTCACTTAGACTCGCTACAGGGTGCAGAAAATATTTGGACAGCAAACCAAACAGTTGGTGAAGAAGCCTAGGTGTTTAGGATGAGTTTTGGGATGGTTAAGGACAGAAGGGCAGCACCAAAACACTCTAAAACTAAGCTCCTAAAGGCTCCAAAGGTTGCAGGAAATAATAGGGCAGCAAGCTAAAAGATGGACAAAGTTATCTAAACTATTTGGGTGGACTATGGAGTGCGGACAGCAAGTGACTACTACCTAAAACTCTCCTAAAAGGTTACTAATATGCGCAGGAATTAAGTGGATAGCAAGTGTAGACAAAAGGCTAAGAGGCCCAAACTAAAATTGAGGCTATGGGGTAGGTGGCAGCACTCACACAACAAGATATGCTCATGTAATATAAAAAATTTAGTGCAGATTTTTCTGGACAGCAAAAAGGAAAACATAAAATAAGGCTATCTAAATGATGCTATGCATGAAAACCACTAAAGACAAATTAAATAGAACTCCTAGGATGCATCTAGCACAAGTCAAGCATGCTAGCCATGCTCTGATACCAAGATGATGTGAAACAATATCGGAATTGCACGGAGACATAATAAGACAACGGAGTATCTTCGAAAAGAAAAGCGGGACTTATGCTTAAAGGAGGGCGGTCTATCTTATTCAATGGCGTTGATCGCCACTTCTTGTGTTGATGTACAAAGAAATTGGTTGAGGCAAGAAAAATCGACTTCCTAAAGAGGAAGCACTTGTGCACATCAACTTAGGATATCCCCTCCGTTCTACACCTGATTATGCACTCACCTTTGAAAGACGTCCTTTCAGTGCCACTTAAAATCTAGGTCAGCAGAAATTAGAAATTATTCACGCAGTAATAGCCTTTGCTTCATGAGTTGTTATAGAGATTAACGAGTCACAATTAATGATTTAAAGAAATCTCAGTTGCAAAATTGCTTAGGCATTGTTACAAACTCGGTAGGCACAACAATTTAAAACAATAACAAACATGCGAATAATGACGAATACACTTTAACAATAATCCGCGGGTTAATATTTAGAAAAGTCACCTTGAGTTTCCCTCACTCAAGCTCTCTTGCGGTTAACAGAAGAAAGATATTAGCAACACTAATGTGATCACCACGAGAAAGAGGGAGCTTACAATACTGTCCACAGGAAAGCTATTCGGAGCGGGAGGAGTTGATGAACAGTGCAAGCGTGACCACTCGGATGGACGGTAGTATTTGTCGATGGCGGTTGATGGGGAAACTAGTTTCCGATCCACGTAATCTTCAATGGTGGCGTCGATCTCTATGTTGACGTCACGAAAAAAACGATCTCCAAACAGCAATCCCGGTAGGAAGATTTCAGGCTCACCAAAATCCAAAAAAAGAAATTTCAGATTTTGTAACCAAAATCTGAGAAGAATTCCCGTTTTCCAAATTCTTATACAAAGCTGAAGTAATTCTTTGGAGGAATCTGAAATGTTTTGTCAAAATCTCAGCCGTCCCTTAGCATTTGATCCCACGGTCAGGATGAGAATCCGTGGGAGGCTCACCTGGATCACGCCAATATCCTTCTATATTTGGGTAGCTGAATTAGGAAGGATTATATTGAGGCAATTATGTATCAATTAGAAGTTATTTATTTCTTTATTAAGACATCTTGTATAGATCTATAAATAGGGAAAATTTTGTATAATAATTAGAAGGTATTTTTACCTTTCTCAAATTCTATGAATTGTAACATGTTATCAGAGCCACGATTTGTTGACAATTCTTTGTAAAAGGAAGCCGGCCTTCATTGCCGCTCCTATTGCCGGATCGACGAAGAAAATAGGGCTGCCTTCATTGCCGCTGAAGAACGTTCCTTTTAGTTCCTCGTATAAGAGGCGAAGAAAGGACTTTTGTCTGACGCCACCAGATGCGAGAAGACTTGCGGAAGAAGCCGAACGACGGAACCAGGAACGGAGGAAGAAAAGAAGGAGAAAAGGAGAGGCGGAGCCTTGCCGACGCTACCAACAAGAAACTCGCAGCGGACGAAGCTTGGAGAACCGACGGAGGCCTTGACGGAAGCCGAAGCCGCTGGCCGAGACGAGCTGAAGAGGCGACCAGTGACCCTAATCCAAACTTCCAATCCGACGGGAAGGGCATGAAGACCGAAGACTTCGGATTCGATATCCAATAACGATCCCGTCGAACATCCTTTTCGGCCGCTCTGGTTCCCCTCGTTCCAACGTTGATTGGATCCGGATCCACATCCGCTGTGTCTGATACGATCTTAAGCCCGCCGCCGTCCGCATCGAGGGTTTTGATTGCCTCGACTGTGAGAGCAGCTGCAGCCGCGTCATCCCTACCTTCGCATAGGTGACCCGTGAAGCAAAGCCGCACCGACGAAGCCGCACAGACGCTCGATTTGACCGAAAGCTCTCATGGTGAGCATCCTGTGCGGAACCGTGCGGTGCAAGTATCCCGATCCGACCCGACAGGAAGGGAGGAGCACCGAAAGAGTTGAGTCGAACAGGCAGGGAGCCCAATCGGACAGGAAGGAAGAATACGAAGGAGTCAAAGAAGCCTCCTGCGAAGCAAGAAGACTCCGAGCGAGTGGCTCCTTGCGTGCAGGCCCTTGCCGAGCTTTGGATCAGCTTTGGATCGGTCCGGTCCAATAAGGTTCAATTTAAAATTAAAAGGGCCTTTCAACTTTTATTGTAGAAAAAAAAAATCGGCCTTTATTGCAGTAACTTAAGATCAAAGGGATCTTATTTTGGAATCGCCTGTGATATACAAATCAAAGAAAGCAGAGAGAAGAAAGCGGCCTTCATTGACGTTGGAGTCGTGCGGTCCAAACAGCTCGTGCCCTCTGTTTTGCACCAGCGGCCTTCAATGCCGTAGGACATCGAACGAGAGTCGAGTAAGTCCAAACCGCGCGTGCCCTCTGTTTTGTGGTTGTGGCCTTCATTGCCAGGATTTGGAGGAATATTACTCCTACCGGCCTTTATTGTTGGAATACAGGTTCCTATCATCGGCCTTCATTGCCAGAATGTTGAGGAATACTAGTTTCCACCACCGTCCTTCATTGTCGGAATTTTGAGGATGTTCCCATCACCGGCCTTCATTGCTGGAATTTCGAGGAATACAAATTCCCACAACCGGCCTTAATTGTCGGAATTTTGAGGATAGTTTTTCCATCATCGGCCTAGCTTTAATGAATTAATATAAAAAAAACTTTAATTAACTAATTCAAAAAAAAAACTTAGAATCAATTAATTGAGTAAATCAACTTAACTTAAAATAATGTCAAAATACATTGAAATATAAATTAACAAACTGAGCAATTGATTTGAAGTTAAAACTTAATTTCAATTAAAATTCATTTAATTAATTTACATAATTAATTAATGCAAGTAAAATAAAAATATAAATAATCAATAATTCGACTATACAATCAACTTAAGTACATACTACTAAACAGCTCTCAAACACAAATTCTAAAAATAATAAAAACTCTCCAACAAATAAACTCAAGCACTCTAAAACTCTCAACAGCAGCTATCTGAGAGCTCTTTAATCTGCTGGCTCCGAGCAATTACAAGCAAACAGGCAAAAGTTAGTGCATCACTAAAAAGAGTAAATCTAACTACTACAGACATAAAATAGTGCTAAAGTAGAATAATAACTGCTATAATAGAAAAGACTACAAACACAAAATAATAAGAACTACTAAAAGCAAAAAAATAACTACTGGCAAGTAAGTGTCAAACTACAGTCTAGTGTCATACTATCTAAGCGAAGCAATAAGACACCTGTGTTAGAGAACTTCAAAATGAATGATCCTAGATTCTAAACTCAAACCTCTAATAGACAATTTTGTTTATAAGAACTAGTTTGTAAAATTTATTATCCGACCACTTTCAATGAAAGTCATAAGTCCAATTTTATGAAAAATCTTTAGGCAAAAATGACTTAATCCATAATCACCAATTAATCCTCCGGTAACTTCTAATAGAAGCTGTAAGTCCGATCTCTAAGGAAAATATTTAAAAAATAACATAACCCTAAATGATGTGAAACAATATCGGAATTGCACGGAGACAAAATAAGACAACGGAGTAAGCAAGAAATTATAAAGATTAACGAGTCACAATTAATGATTTAAAGAAATCTCAGTTGCAAAATTGCTTAGGCATTGTTACAAACTCATTAGGCACAACAATTTAAAACAATAACAAACATCTGAATAATGACGAATGCACTTTAATAATAATCCGCGGGTTAATATTTAGAAAAGTCACCTTGAGTTTCCCTCACTCAAGCTCTCTTGCGGTTAACAGAAAAAAGATATTAGCAACACTAATGTGATCACCACGAGAAAGAGGGAGCATATAATACTGTCCACGGGAAAGCTATTCAGAGCGGGAGGAGTTGATGAACAGTGCAAGCGTGGCCACTCAGATGGACGGTAGTATTCGTCGATGGCGGTTGATGGGGAAACTAGTATCTGATCCACGTAATCTTCAATGGTGGCGTCGATCTCTATGTTGACGTCACGAAAAAAACGATCTCCAAACAGCAATCCCGGTAGGAAGATTTCAGGCTCACCAAAATCCAAAAAAAAGGAATTTCAAATTTTGGAACCAAAATATGAGAAGAATTCCCGTTTTCCAAATTCTTATACAAAGCTGAAGTAATTCTTTGGAGGAATTTGAAATGTTTCAGCTTTTCTTCTCTCAAAAATCTGAGAGGAATTCCACTCTCATTTTAGGGAAGAACAACTTGGCAGCAAGGCTTATGGAGAACAAGCCACATGAAATAACAGTGGAGAGGAAATCTGAGAGGGAATAACCTTGCCTTCCACTTTCAGATTTTGAGATCTGGAGTAAAAACTAAACTTACGTTTGAGTGGGGAGGCATTTGGGAGGTAATTAAGAGAAGATGAGGTGGCAATTAGAGAGAGAAGCAATGGGGTTGAGGTGGCCCGGCCATAAGGAGAGAGAAAGGCTTGGTATTAACTCACATGGGGCCCCCAATTTAATCACAATTTTATTCAAAGATTAATCTCAGATTTGGGTGAATTTGGAGGGAGCAATTTGAATTTTGAATCCAAGCTTTAATTGTAATTAATTCCTTAATGAGGGAATTAATTGGGGAAAAGCCCACTAAAGGCCGACGGCAAGGAGAGAGGAGGGGAGAGAGCTTAAAGTTGAAAACTGAAATAGATTTCAGTTTTTAAATGGGATGCGAGGGAAATTTAATTGAAATCAAATTCAGATTTCAAAATTGAGAGGAGTATTGATGGCAATTAATGGGGAGCCAAAGAGCGGGGGCCGACGGGATGAGTAGTAGAGAGGGGTTTAGGGAAAGAGGTAGAGGCGTTTCCAAACATGAATGATGACTAGGGAAATTTTAAATTAAATCCAAATCAATTATTTTAAATTTGAATTCATTCAAAAAATTTCCATATATGGAATGTCCAAATTTGGAAAGAATTTGAATTTTTGAAATTCAAATTCCAATGAGAACTAGGGAAGGGAGATGTGGGGAAGTGGAGGAGAGGGAAGAGGCCGGCGGCAAGGTGGCCGGCCGACGGGTAGGGGCTCCAATGATGGCGAAGCTAGTGAGAGGTTTGGCTCCTTTCAACTTTTGGTCGTTGCTTGCGGGAGATTGTGGTGGAGAAGAAGAATGTTGCATGAAGAGGGGAGAAAGGAGATGAACAAGAATATACGAGAAGGACAGAGATAACTAATGAACTCACAAAGAGATCGTAAGAACCGCGAACCTCGAACTCTTCCAAAGATTGACGGGTATTGCAAGTTACCCTCCTCGAGCTTCTCCTCTCATAAACTCACTAAGAGATCAACATAAACATAAAAATTTCATTATCAATGATTCATCATCCCATACAATGCATGAGGCCTCCTATAAATAGGCCAAAATGAACCAAAATTAAAAGAAATAAATGCCCTCGGGGCTACAATATCAAAATGACCACCCATAAGGGTAAAACCGTAAAACTGAAAAATAAAATAAACTACTACATAAAAAAGACTCAAAATAAAACTCCGGATCGTGGTCGTCGATCTCCGACGTCTCCGATGGAACACGTGTTGAAATCGCTGACGATGTCCTCATCACTAAACCTCTCACTTGGACATCCTAGTCTATAGAATCAGGTTGTAAGACCCACCATACGGGCTACTTTGCATATAGAGCTAAGTCATAAGGCCCGTTGTTAGGCAACTTCTAAAGAAGTTATAAGACCTATCCAACTAAGAATCTTCGGGTTACTTCTAATATAAGTCATAAGACATATATACCCAAAAATTTTTGGGCCACCTCTAATAGAGGCTGTTAGTCCCACCACTATGGACACTTTCAAATAAAAGTCATAAACCCCTACCCAATTCAATAACACAGGCAACTCTTAAACAAAGCCATAAGCCTCAATCCAAATCACACCAAATAAAAATTCACATTTCTCCACTTCAATTTACTTTGGATCTCTGAGAAGAGGCAACCCATGACTGCTAATCAGATTTCCTGGAAACTACAATCAATGGTCGTTAGTGTTGGTAGACTGAATCCACGGTATACTCAGGACGATGGAACCATGGGATCTTAATCGGGTGCACATTCATCACCATAACTAAAACTAAAATATTGTTGCATATTTTCGCACTTCATGTATAAAGCTAAATATATTTCATCCTTAATCGATAGTGCTCTTCTAATGCATTAAGAGGGATAATTAACTATAAGGGCATGCGCTCATAAGAAGTAGAACTCAAATCAAAATAAACCCTAATACTAATCTCAGGAGAAATCTAATTGAACGTTAAATTCAATCTACTTCCGAAAAAATAAGGAACCTTCAGCTTACGAGAGTGAGGTTTACACCTTAGTTATTTTTCCAGAACGAAGAAGGACATTTGTTATTCTTAGAGCCACTCTCCCTCTGATAGATTTATGCCTTTTGTATTTGAATGATTTAAATAATTTTATAAAGGATATGAATTCCATCATCAACAATTATCCCTTCAAGGCTTACGGTCTCTCCGTACTAAAATTTTGTCATGATCAAATATAGCTTCCCTATGAATTATAAAATTGGTGCAAATGAAAGGCTGCATTTTTAAGTTAAAGGATACACAAGTACACAACAATAGCAATGCAGAAATAATCATTATTAGCCTTATCCCAACTAATTGGATCAATTTTATTAATACTTATTTTTAATTCATTCTTCTAGAGAGTGCTACATGAGGTAATAATCTGATTTTCTAACAATGTTTTTCAATAAATTCTATTCATCACATCTTAAGTCTAATATTTTTACTTAATAATCCTTCAACACTAATTTTATCAATCCATATAACGTGTGTTTTCTACACAAGTCTCATTTTCACTATCATATCTTCAATAAAGGCTACTTCCGCCATCTCTCTAATATAATGATTTCTCAATTTATCATTCCTAACTTTCAGGCACCTATCTTAATATATTATTTAAGCCACACTCAACTTCACAATTAACAATTTTTTTTGTTACTCGGTAATTGAATCCTTAAAAGATAGACTAAATAAACCCAATTTTATAAATTTTAAAAATCCCAAGTAACAATTATGAGTGGAAAAATCAGTTTGCCAAAGAAGTTATAACTTGCGAGAATATTTACCACACAAGTGCATTTATGTATGAATTTCATACGTCAATATGATCTAAAAAGAACACAAAACAACAAATAATACATTTTGAGTTTAAAAAAATGCAATTTTATAAGCAATCAAGTTAGGAAATTGATATAACCCACAATTTGCTTGTCTATACAGATTGGATACCCTCCAAGATTAATATGCATATGAATCACAACGACTCTTTTAGTGATTGTTATATGGTAAATACTTCCTTTACAAATAGATATTAAAATTTTTCAATTGATAAATGTTACCAGTCACTGCTACGGCCAACGAGAATTACATTAATTTTGTACATATTCAAGCAACAAAACAAGAAAAAATAAATAAACTATCATCCTATAAAAGGTCCGTCAAGTCATCAGGCACATAGAAAATCCGACCCTGCAAATGGATATCAACCTTGATTGCAATCAAGTAATTATTTCCATAACTATCCATAACCTATTACCACTACAGCCATATAGTTTGAAATTCCAAGTTGTCAAATTCACTGAAAGGGTTATCCACAAGAATACAACAACAACAACATCAAGCCTTTATCCCACTACGTGAGATCGGCTACATGAATCCTTTTTCTCCATTGTGTCCTATTAAAGGTCAAATTCTCATTTAAATCTAATAAGGAAATGTCATTTCTAATATTTTCTAACCAAGTCTTTTTAGGTCTGCCTCTACCTTTCTTAACATAAGTCAAATCTAATACCTCTACTCTCCTAACCGGGTCATTGGAAGGACGCTGTTTTATGTGACCAAACCATCAAAGGCGACTCTCTCTAATCTTATCTTCTACTGGAGCTACTCCAACCTTTTCACGTATATGCTCATTTCGTATCCTGTCTCTAAGTGTAAAGCCACTCATCCACCTAAGCATCCTCATCTCTG